CGCATTCATACCAAAGCAGGGTATTATGTAAATTATAACGCATGCTTTCGAGCGTGCGTCAATAAATACGAAATAAAACATAAGAGACACATTTTAATAATAAAAAAAAAACGTTTTTATAATATAATGTTATTTACTTATAAATGAAAAGAGAAAATAATAAATTAAATTTGATATATGGACAAAACAGCGTAATAAATTTAAAAACCTTTAAATAAAACAGTGAAGTTCCGAAATCTTCCTCACAAATGTACATTTAATTCTTAAAAGTTTTCTTTAGCTAAAACATTCTAAGCTTGATAAAAATATTTATTTATTAAATACAATTCTAAGAGAATATACAAACCCAATCTACAAACGCAGTTAACGCCAACTAAGAAAGTCTCATCATATAATAAATATCTTGTTATTATAAATTGCCTTTTCTCAACTTCAAAAAAGAAATCACTTCTGTTGGATTCATTAAAAACACATATTTTCCTCTTAAGATTACAAAATATATATTCAGTCTTAATCTCGTAATATGCTTGCCGACACTGCCGACACCAACTGCGCTTCCAACTCCGCTACTTAATCAAAACAAAAAAAAAACTATTATTGTTAAAGTTTGCTTTTTTATTAAGAAAAATTGGAGAGCCAAATTTAATAATTTTCTTGCTTGTTAGACCGACGCTGAGATATATCTCATACATTATTTTTTCCCATTTGCGGATCGAATTTGCCAAGAACCCATCAAAGGGTCTGTTATCTTTGTAGAAGATTCACATGCTGCTCTGTCAAATAGCAAACGAGACGCAGCGAGGAACTGACACAGAACTGAAATTGTTCTTCCGCAATAATATAACAGCGCTTGTTAATGGTAATGCTTATGTTAACGTGTGTGAATGGCAATGTTTCATGGACTGAGTGATGTGCTTATGAATGTATATATTCTGCTATGACAAAACGAGTATCAATTTAATACATAAGAATGTACAAATTAACAGCTTAAGTCCTAATCAGAACACAAATATTTTTGATAGCATCCCCGATACGATTGATTTGCTCTTTTTTCCAGCTAATTTGGTCAGTGTCGTTATTAAGAGTCTACAACAAAGAAGGAAGAAGTAGAGGAAATAATACTCTCAATTAAAAAAAAAAATCAAAAATAAACTATAATTTTTTAAAATATAAGTAAAGTAAAATATAAAAGTAAAGAAATTTGTACATGTCAAAATTAAGGGAAAAAAGGGTCGAGCCAGTCAAATACTTTATATTAAAATAAATCAATTATTTAAAATAACTACGATGATATAGTAATAAAATCATTTGAATAAAATGGTCAGCCTAAAAGTAGGCCTCAGGAATTACGCATGGCCAAAATGTATATTAAACTGTCAAGTAGCCCACAGACTGCCTCCTTGTCAATCAACTCTAATTGTTAAATACATAATAAGCCAACATTTTGATAGTTGGGTTTGCCACAAAAATACCAAAACTCATTGTACCTTTCGCCCCGAAGCGGATTGTGCGTAATATTAGAAAATTTAATCAACGTATGGAAATTGAGCCGCAATTAAAAAAAAGGAGTGGTGGGCATCAGCAACAGTTGGTTCGTTGCAAAAGGGGGGCAGCAATGGACTGACCTTTTTATGCAAATTGCAGCGCAGCACCTTTTACACCCTTGGTGACATAAGAGACGAGATGAATGGGGCAGAGGGGTGCAAGCAGAGGGTAGTTGGAGAAGCCTCTCTCGGACAGCAACAATTAAATTGGCAATTGTTTGTTGTCTGCGGTGGTTGTTGGCTCAATTTAAGCTCGCACAGCTGTGACCAGCAACATGACCAGCGCTTAAATGGATATCTATTCATACGGCACCATTCAAAGCGGCATGCCACCCGCTATAAGCCCTCTAACACCATGCCCCACCCCCAGAAACAGTACAACCTCCCAATAGGCTATCAATGGCACAGCAAGAGCGCACATCAATTTATGCGGGGTCGCGTCAAAATTGTGGGCGTTCTTTTGAGAGGGGATATGTGGGGTGGTCTAGAGCTCGTAGTACGTGTGGTGCCAGGCCATACGCCGCTTGGTGTGTGTTGGGGTGTGTGTAGGTATGTGTAGATATGCTGTTTTTGCTAGGTTTTGGAGCATTATGTAACCATAGTTTAAATCAATTAAATAAGCAGAACAATTTGTACAACCGCTGAGAACAGCTATAAAACTGTGGGCGAGATCAAAAAGTTAACATGCACTTAAACTCTGCTGTTTGAGAGCTGAATAACATATTTGAGAGATGGATAAATTTAACATATTAAATACGAGACGTATGGATGTCTTCTTTCCTCTTTCACTTTCCCCTCTCATTGATTATGGAATGGGAACAGGTTAAAAGTAACCAATTTGGCATATAGCTCTTCACACATTGAACATAAATCAAATTACCTTCGTTCAAAATCAAATGAGTAAAAATTGCAAGTGAAACGAAGGCCACAATTGTAGGAGCGTTGCCTCTTTGAGAAAATACGCATATTCCATGGCACAAGAAGATCTACTATGCGTGTGAGAATGTGATTATATGTACATATTTATAGGAGGAAGCTAGAATGCTTGTAAATGTAGCTTGGTCCCGGCTCCAGGGTATCGGGCCACTCCCAACTAGAGAACTCTTAATTGTTAAGTCTGCAGCTCTTTTATAAATAAGTACAAATGTTTATAAAAAATAGTTCAGGGATGCCAAGTATCATCTGGTAGGGCACAACAGACAGGCACACTCGTATTAAAGTCTTACTCTCACTAAATAACTTCAATCACAATTATATCCCAACTCTGAAATAAAAATATATCGAGTCTATTGTTAAATGCAAATCTACCAGCTCCAAACTATGTCCCAAACCAATTTGGAGTCTTCAAGAAAGAGTTCTTAAAAGTTTCTAAATATTTCAAAAGACTAGCCAGTTGAGTTTCAAATTCCATCTCAATTCAAATGCGAAGTTGATTAGCCTTTCAAAGCACTTTAAGTTTAACCTGGTACGCTACGCACACAAACACACAAGCAAAAATTTGCATCGGTAAATTTTTTCATCTTCAACTTCTAATCGAATCAGCAAATACCACGGAATACGTGCAGCCCTTCGGAATTTTCAATGCAGGCAAATACAACCACACACTTACACAGACGCACACACATGCAGATCAATGTTATCGAGCGCACAAACGCATTAATTACGTGTGCGCGAGCGCGTATGTGTGTGTGAGTGTGTGTTTGTGCAGAGGTGCTTGGAGAGGGCTTAACAGGAACTCTTTTGGTCGGAAAACTGAAGGCCAGGCATGTAAATTAACGCTGTCAAAGTTGCCACTTGCAACTTGATGGCAACAAGTGTAACACCCTCCTACCCTCCCACAACCATGCCCACATCACTGCTTTGCCTTTCTGTTGTGCAACGCACCAGTGCATTATAGACGTAAGCAAAGGTTGGGGCGAAAAGGAAATATACGGCTTCCCACAAAAGTGGGCAACGCAATACGTGCGTAAGGCGATTCAACTGTGTGGAGACCCCCTCTTAATTACTTTAGCACCTTTCTACCCGCCTAGCTTACTCCCTTCCCTCACTTCTTCTTTCTGTGCTTGCTTAATTGAGCTATGACCAGCTATTTGAACTGTTAATTAAGCCTTAGCAAAAAGTTAGCTTTCTTTCGTTAAAGTCCAAAAGGCATATATTTATAAACACACGCACACACACAAGCCCGCACATACTCGCACACGAACGCTAAACAATTCCCCTTTCGGCCAACTCGCAGATTTCGCATTTGGCACGTCAATGCCAAAAATCCAATCAAACTGCATCAAAACTTCGCTCACGGTTTTGTTAGCATAATTTGCGGCGCTTAATCAACGAGCAGCCTGAAGGCAAAACGATAGAGGATATCGGGCATAAAAATGTTAAAGTTATTTGTGCTGATGCCGAACCTTGACTACACTACATATTAAAGAAATTTTATTTATTTTCCAGTGAGTACTTTTTCAAATCTTTCCTCGGTCCCCAACACTGTAAGAGCGACATTTAATGACGCGACTAATAGCTTCTTATTATTCATTTTACAACTTTACTTTTCAATTCGCTAGTTTATCATCACTTTCTATTAAGCTTTGCCATCTCGATGGAACGGTTTCAGTTAGTGACTTATAATGTTATCGTAGTCACAAAGTTATACATCTTAAAATGAAACGATTCGATTGCAAACAAAAACATGTTGAAAGCAAAAAGAAAATTTAAATGACTCGTAAATGCGGTGGACTAGGGTAATTTGAGATATAAATATAAGCCTATAATAAATTGTAGATACTATTCTTCTTCAATGATACCTTTTTCAACAAAATACCCTTTCCTGGTAAGTCTATTCAAATCGAAATTGAGGTAAATGTCGTGCCAACGTCGCACAAAAAATTTAAATTACATTTCGGTTTTGCGTTTGACGCTGCAATTTCTTCTCCACCAACGGCTGCACTTGATGCGCAGAAGGAGGTATGGTTATGGACTGGCTTGCCTGGTAGCAGGGCAGGGCATGTGGCATGCTTCATTGGACCAGGGACCAATTCAGTGCCTGGCGGTTGCAATTAGGCGGAAAGCGTTGCATATTCTGTGGCGTTAAATTTTCCGTGTGCAATTAAAATTTTGGTTTCGGCCAAGAAAATTTGCCGAGCTTGTGTTTTTTTGTGGTCAGAGGAAGGGCAGGGGAGGGCACGGTAAGGGCAATGCTAATGAGCTGGCGGCACATTAATGAATGAAAAACTAAAATTTTATAATTTGCATGACCATTTTATAGCGAATTTAGCGAGCTACTTAAACTAAACTCCTGAAAAACATTCAGAAATTAGAAAAAATAAATAAAAAAAATTAAATTTCTAAAATTGAAACAAAACCTTTTTGTTCAACTATTATTTTTTTTTTTTGTCAATTTTCATATTTTACAAAATCCTTTAAACAAATAATGCCAATTAAAATAATTGCTGCACTTACCTTAAAAACACAATTTCAATTAATTGGCGCTGTAAAAAGAGAAAGGGAAGAATTCATTAAAAATGTACGCATCTTATTATGAATGCATAAGAAAATTTTACCACACAAAAAACCCATATTTAAGTTCCGACTTTTGCAATTTCTACCCAATGCGAAAACAACTTAACATTTTTAAGGACAGTTTTTTATGCAACTTTTAAAAGCATAATTACGAAAATGCTTTGTAGGGACAGCCAGCAATAGGAGACGGACAAAAGGCAAATGGCCCACACCCCACCCATCCAAAATGTCTGCCATTTAATGGCTAATGGCAACCGAATGGAACCGTAAAACGGGCAGTTGTCCCGAGTTGTCCCTACGTTGAAATATAGCCCGAAAAAGTTACAAAAAGTATCTCAATACCCGCATATCTATGGCAAATGGCATGCATATTAAAAATGACAACAAGACAAAGCTAAAGGAAAAAAGCGAACAAAAACGGAAGAGAAATTTAAGCATCCACAGGACGAATTATGAATATCCTTAAAAACATACCTAGATAAAATCTTATAGAAAATCTGTCAAATAAAAATCTATGCAAGCAAATTACGAAAAACTTTATGTTTAATGGTTAACACCCAAACGTTTACTACATAACTTTTGATTTTATTAAATAAAAATCAAGATTTATGGGGATTAATTGAAACTTAAGCTTAACCTAACTAACTCACTAGAAGGAGGAGACTCAATTTTTAAATGAATCATTCCTGTATCAGAACTTTTACATAGGCATAGACTGAAGTCAGGGCAAAAACTACGAAAGATCATTTTTATTCATCAATTATTTATTTGAAATTTATAGCATCGCCTAAGTTGTCTATATTCTATATATCCAAAAGGATCGGATTTGTTCTTTTCAGTGCTTTAACATTTCAGGAAAATAATAATACCCTCTGCTAAGGTATAAAGCTGGAACAGCAAAAAAGCGCTGACAGCTAAAAGTTAAATTCATCAATGACAACGCGAAGGATGTTAATGTTGATCTACCACAGTGTCCCTTCTCTACTCTCCTCCCCTCGGTCTGATGAGTGAATGCTGATGTTCGCGGCAGGGCACAAAAACTGAAGCTACTTTTTCTTTATTGACACCTTATCCATTAATGCTCAAAAACGGGAGGAAATTTGGCAGCTGCCGCAATCAATGCTATTTATAACCGAGGGGCTAAAGCTTTTTATGCGAGGTAAACTTTTCTACTTTTTTTTCATTAAGAGACCATTTTTATGCAGCTTAACTTGAAAACGGTGTAAAAAATTTAAAAAGTTGTGAAACATGCATTAAAATGGTACGAAAATTAACATTTTTTTATAAATGTGTTCTTTTTTGGATTTTTTTCACTACATCGGCGAAACTGAAACGATTATTCTGAAACCCATCAAATTAAATTTGCCAAGCCTACTTTCAACCATTGCATTTGGACATAAAATAGTTCATTTGCTAGGCATAAGATAGCATATTTGTTGTAATAAAACCAACAAATAAAACCCAAATAAAATTGTTTCAGTTTGAAAACCAAAATGTCTTCATTAAATGCTCGGAGAATGTGTTCATATATATAAATATAGAAATTTGAAACTATGCTCAATGTAGAAAACATAACATTCCTCAAAATAATTGAGCTAACAATTTATAATTCATATTAATTAACTGAAACCCCATTTAACCCAATTACTTATGAAAAGGCAAGCAGTGCGTGCTTTGTTTCAGGTTAACTTGGCCAAGTGATGTAGGACGCTTGACTTGCTTCGACGCAACCAAGTGTTAAGCAAGGCGAAACAGTGAAGCCACGTCGGAGCTAAACAGGCTTAACTTTCCTTAGCTAAGTTCATTAGGTAATCAAGCAGCGAGATGAGAACCTTAACAGTTTTCTTTCAACAAGAGCGAAGCAAAATTTACAGTAGTGAAGCTACCAATAACTGCATTTGGCCTGGATTATGCAAGCACAAAATGTAGTAGCTGTTAGTGGAATCCGCTCCCAAAAGCGCTTATTTAAGTTTTCATGATTGCGGCTGGCCGCTCTGAATTATTGCAAGAAACAAGGAGATAGCTAATCGGTTAACGGACAAACATCCCTTCGATACAAGGGAAAAACTTAATTGGCCGCTGGCCAAAATGAGCCCAATTCAAAGTTGGCTAACGGCATAGGACGAATCATAAATATAAATTCAAAAAGCCGTGCATCAAATGGAGAACAAAAGCGTCTGCAGCAGTTTTAATGGTTACACAATTCTGAGGCAAGTTTCATGAAACAAAAATAAACAGATAGGAAAAAATAGCGTTTAAGGAAATGAAAGCTGTTCACAAAAAGAACATTGTGCAAAAACTGGAAGCAGCTTAAAAAATGGAAAACAAAATTCTTTAATGAACTCATTTTATATGAAGTATAAACTTAAAGAATATATTTATAAGCAAACACTACGCATGTTTTTTATTTGTTTGTTAATTTCTTACTACCTTAATAAATTACATCCATTGGTCGGTGAAGCTATTTGAAAATTGTGTATTCTAATTATGCTTTTAGAATCTAATTCTTACAATGATGTAATTATTAGAATTATTATAAAAATAAAAATTAGGATCACTTAAAATAATCAAATCCATGAAAATCCATATTCACTTTTTCTTTATGTGTAAAATATAATCCAAAAAAACTTATTCGTAGTAAAATAATAAACTGAATCATTTTCACCTCATAAAGTAAAAAAGGAAATGTGTGCATAATGTAAAAGAAGCAATTGTTAAAACACAAATATATGAAATGTAAAAACTTATAAACAAATTCCTTTGCATTAAGTTCCATCGCGTAGTATAGTCTTTAATTTTCCTACAACCTTTACTTCAACTCTAAGCTCCAATGAAACAAATGTTGTTCAACGGAATTTCTTACTTCAAGTGTTATCTGTTCTCCAATTGCCTTAATTTCATTTTAAGCGGTGGGCGTGGCCCACCCACTGTAATAAGCTACTTGGTCGGCTGTTTGCGTTTATGTCACACATGCATCAGAGCCCCGGGGTGATGGTGACAGGCCACTCAACCAAGAGAGTAGAGTATGGGTACAGTACAAGATGTCAGTTTAAAGCTTAGTGGGAGCAAAAAGGCTGGCGAAGAGTCTATTTATGCATGCAAATTCGTTTAAGCGCCATTGCTTAAATAATATTTGCTTCCAGGCGTCATCAAGCCAATGGTTATAGTTATGGAATAATATCTGATGAACTAGTTTATATAAAACGGGTCAGAAACTTATAAATTTATAAAAAACTTCTTTTTTTGTATTTTATTTTATTTTATTTTATTTTGCGTTGAAATCGATCAGTGCCTTCTGATCTCTTACAAGCGAATGAAATACTCATTTGAGTCGTATTTCACACTTTTCTTAGAACACAAGCTTCCACGGTGGACAGTGCGATGCAAAGATTGTTTGGGCTGAGTTTTAGGTTTTGTCCGATTTGTATCATAGCTATTTTCAAAGCTCTACATAAGAACTTAAATAATATGCATCTCAGCGATTTGGAAAATTTCCCCGGCAACAGATGGGCAAGGCCGGGAAATTCCCGCTAGTATATTTATATTTGTCATTATATTAGGAATTTATCCACTTAACTTTGTGTTCTGAGTTCATATTATTAAAAATGTTTAAAATATAATGCCCAACACGAAAGTGCCAAGCAAAAAAGTAAAAATAAAGGTAGTCATGCAATAAATCTTCTAGTTATTGTTTTCTGGATTGTTCTCGCAAGTCCTTGACAATAAAAGGCTCACATATTTTTCGGGTAGCTCAATTTCTTTTCGTATGCCTTTTTGTTAGTACACTTAAAACTTGTTCCTCCAAAGCTTTTCGCCTCTTGAAAATTTGCTCGAAAAAAGGTAACGAAGCATTAAATTGAAAGGCGCTCCTCAACGCTCGCACTCTCCACAAAAAGTTGCTTACCTGTGACTTTAACCTTGTACATACACTGTATTCATTTTTTATTTGCTTAAACTTTTGCTCAAGCATTAGAATTATATTGTCCGTTTTGTTGTTGCCTGTGGGGGGAGACGGAGCCTTAAAAGTGGTGCAGGCAATAACAGCGAGTACAAGTTCAGTTAAATCTAATATAAAACAAAAAACTTTGTAGGAATGAGCCGAAGTTGTAGCTTGATTTTTATGAGCCACACAGACTTTGTATGCTTATGACTGTACCCCAATGGACGGTATTGGAATTCGGTCGCTTAATATGTAACGTTCTGAATGAAACAGTTTGTAATCGGCACATGATACGATTAGATAAGTATGCATACAATATTTAATCCATATTTATCCAGTTGGATCAAGGTTCTACTTTTAGAAATGATTTTGTAGGGTCCGACGGGATTTATCTAAAAAGAGAGAAATCTTCGAAATCGTATGCTATGTAAGAATCTGTTCACTAAGCTTACGAGGGGAGGAAATATTAAAAAAAATATCGTTCTGCTTATGGTAATATATGATAATAATTTTTTCAATTTTGATGTCTCTAATTTTTGAAGCTTTCCAGATTCCCGCGTAGATACGTTCACATACGAACATGACTTGAAAAACTCAGCTCGGTGTTCTGATAAATATTTTTTTAACTTCATAGATCGGGTATGTTTAAGTGTTTTATACATTTGCTGGCCTTTTTTAGATTCAGGGTATCGATTGGTCGGAACTCATTGAAAAGTAATTATCGATTATTAAATCAAAAGTAAAGCAGCAAATTAATTGATGTAATTTACTATAAATTGAATGCAACATTAAAAGGCCATGTTTAAACGATGAAAGTGATGTATCCAAAGTTTAAAGTGATGTATCTCTCTTAATATTTCCAGCTGACAATTTCTCACAAATATTTAAGTAAATATTTGTGTTTAAATTCTAGAGATGCCAGAAGCGTCTGTCAGAGGCGCGTACAGTGTGTACAGTATAAAGTGCAGACAGTTTTGGGCCCACAGAAACCAATGACAAAATTTACAGAGCAAAGCCACAGGCAATTAT